CCCCCCCCCCCCCCTCCCCCCTCTCTCTCTTTCTCTCTCTCTCTCTCTCTCTCTCTCTGCGTATGTGACTTTACTTTGAGGGCGCCGATGTGTCTGAATGAGAAGATGAGATGTCCGTCGGGCGTCCAGTCGATTGAGTTGACGTGGCCGATGTCCCAGAGGCTCATGCCTTCACGGTACTGCATCTTGGTGTAGTTGAACACACCAGGGATCCGGTCCCACACACGGAACTCGAACAGCTGACCGACAAGGAATGAACGACACGGCACACGACACGGTTGTGTGGGTCTACTTCTCTCCCTCTCTATGGGGTTGTTTGCTGTGAATGCATTGGCTGGCCTACCACGTTGCCCTGTGTGTCGATCTCCTGCACTACGGGCCCCACCACGGTGACCTCCCCCCTGGTGGGCCCCGACCGCACGACCTTCTGCACCTCCCTGGAGGCAAAATTGACCTTCCTGCGGTCGTACACCATCACCAAAGCCCTCCCGTCGTCCCGCACTTGCAGCCCGTGGAAGTCCGCAAACCCGCCGTGCTTGGCCGTGTGCACCTTGACCTCCTCGTACTCGTGATCGAGCTCCACATAGCCACCACGGCCGGCGGCCCGGTACGTCAGGTGGCCGTTCCTTTGCACCTGACGAGAACAACACGAGAAATGCCGATAGTTCGGATGTGGGAAGTGCGGGAGTGTGTGAGTCGATCAGTCAAGCCAGCCGAGGATACCTTGAACTCGGCGATGTCTGCTCGGCCGGCGGGGGGCGGCATGAAGAAGACGGGCTCGCCATTCTCGTCAAGAATGAGAAAGTACATTCCCGACCCGAAGCCGCTGTTGGCCGCGAAGATGTAGCCGTCGGCGGTCTTGCCGGGCTGCGTCTTGACTATCTGCTGGATCTCGGGCACGGTGGCGTCCATCGTCTGATACCGCCGTGGGTCCATCACGCGATGCGGGCGGGATGCCTCGGCCATGGCCGTGCCGTTCTTGTTGTTCTGCTGCCGCTGCTCTCGCATAATGGCGTCTCTCTCCTTCATGAGCAGCTCGAAGGCCAGCTGGGAGCCGTCCTTGTGGGCGTGTGGGTCGTCCTCACCACTGCCGTTGCCGTTGCCGCCCTGACGGCTGGCGGACCGCCGGCGGCTAGTGCGGGAGTAGGGGGTGGTGTCCTTGGCGATGTTGAAGGACCACTCGAAGGCGGGGAGGGTCTCCCTTGCCGCTTCTTTCCCATTCCCACTTCCGCCCGCCTTGATGCCCCCCTCGATGGCCACGGTGATTTTCTCACCATACTCGAGCGGGGGGCTCTTCTCCTGCTCCTTGCGGGCCTGAGGGAAGATTTCCACGCCCTCGGTCACAATCTCGTACCCCATGGTGTGCGCCGGGTGGAAGACGAGCGTGCAATGGTCGTCGCCGAGCTTGAGAGTGCCCTCGTGGCGGCCCGACTGCTCGCCTCTTATGGTCACCTTGCCCTCAGCCGTTGAAAGGTCCACTGGGCAGGTCTTGGGCTTGATGGCGACGGTCGTCATGTCTGAGACGAAGATGGCGCCGGGCATTGGGTTGAGGTACTGGTAGGGCCCGTAGAGCTTAGTCATGTCGCGGCCCTCCGCGCGGGCGGCGAGCTCGTCGAAAAAAGACCGCTTCAGCTCCTCCTCGCTCAACTCGGTGTCGTCATCATCTTCGATGAGCGGTGCCTGGGTCGCCCCCGCCTCCTCAATGACATCATCCTCGATGAAGAGTGGCGCGTCGGTCACGCCCTCCTCGTCGTCAGCCAAGGGCGCCTCGGTGGCTGCTGCCGCCCTGCTCTCCTCTTCCTGCCGTCTGATCTGCTGTTTCAGCCTCTCGACTTGCTTGCGCAGGTCGGCGAGTGCCTCCTCGAGATCGCTGCCGGCTGCGTCAAGGAAGCGAGGTGACGCGGAGAATGCCGTCGACGATGCGCCGAGGCAGCAGCAGCAGCAGAGCAGAGGGACGAGCAAGGACAGGCTCCTCATCTTTTTGGAAGGAGCTCTCAATTAATTAATTGGTAGGCCCATCTCGATGGGCACCCTCTCCTTAATTCAACATCGTCATCGTCTTCTCATCTCGCGGGCCCTTTCTGTGCCGCTGTACGCTGCAAGCTTTTTCTAACGGCCGACATGGTTGCGGTTGCCAAGGCGCCTGAAAAAAGGCAAATCTGACGCATCTGTGCGTCCCTTTCCCGCTCCTTGTTCAAAGGCGCCCGACACACTTCCACGGAGAGCGGTCGCGGCCAGCGAGACGGCCAGTGAAACAATCCGAGATGCAGCCCCCACAGCCCCCAGTCACTCGAGTACGGACGATGCACCCTGTTCGTGCTCCAGCTGGGGAGGGCAGCCGCAGCAGCAGCGGTTCTCGGTCGGCGCCGCCCCTGCAGCAGCCGAGCCCCTCCCGCTCCCTTCTCCCCCTTGGCTCCAACGTCTCCTCCATCAGTTCAAGCCGCGAAGCCGCCCCTCTCCCTGCGTCCCGCTCAGACACCCGTGGCTCGCTCCGCCATGCGCCGTCGCATCGCGGCAGCATGGTGGAGATGTCGGTCGGCAGCGGTGGGCTCGAGCGGCTGCACTCGAGAGCCGGCACAAGTGGACAGTTGCTGTCGGCTGCGCTTGCGCCGACCTTGCGGAAGCCCAAGGGGCAGACAGTGACCTTTGATGGGCCGAGGGGGGATAGGAAGAAGAAGAACAGTCTCGGCCGGTAAGACATCGCACGTAGGCCGGCCTTTTTGCATGACTGGCCGCTCTGTGTATGTGTGTATGTGTGTATGTGTATGGGTGTGTGGGTGGGCGTGTGGCGTTCAGGAGCCAGACGACCAACTTTGGTGGCAGCGCCGGGAGCAGCGGTGGAGGCGGCCGCACCATCACGCCTCCCGTCGCCATCTTTGACCCGGGCGACCACCCCGGCTTCTCGCGCCGGTCCACCTTCAACAGGACCGCCCCACCACTGGTCAGTCAGTCAGGGTGTCTCTGATGCCATGTGACCGGCCCCAAAATGCATTGATGCTCCCGTTGTCGGTCTTGTGTGTATATCTGTGTGTGTCGGTGCAGATGGTGCGTCACCGTTCGTCTCTGGGCATTGCGGCCAACCAGCAGCACCAGCAGCAACCATCAAGCCCCTCCGCCCCCCCACAGCTGCGCACCAGCACAGGCCGGCTGCAGCTGGACCCTCAGCCATCCCCATCCCCATCCCCAGCCTCGCCCACCATCTCTCCCTCACCCCAAGACACCCTCTCGCCCACCGCAGCAACGGCATTCAGGCGAACGATCGACACCCCATCAGGCGAAAGGCGCTTGGTCGTGCCGCCGCTGTCCCCCTCAGACGGCGGGATGTCTGTCGATGAGCTGCGTAAGGGGCCGGCGGCTGAGTTCTCCAGGACCATCAGCTTCTGGGACGCCATGCAGGGGTCGCATCACCTCTTGGACGAGGAGGCGGACGACGACCATGGAGAGGAAAGGGGTGGTCAGCAAGAAGAGGAAGAGGTCCAGCAGAAAGCTGGGGATGCCGAATGTGACGAAGCCGCCAACGAGCCAGCGGCGGACACTTCACATTCAGATGGCGAACAAGAGGTAATTCCGCACGTCATTCTTTGGGGTTTTCATATGGCCGGAAAGTAATCCTCTGTCATCGATACTCCCTCGCTTAGGTCCATGACGAGCCCCCGCCAGCACTGGAGGTCCCCGACGGCCGGTCCAAGTCTGTGTCTGTCACCATATGTCCCGATGGCATGATGGGGGGTGGCGATGGTGACGACGGGCGGGCGGACCAGCCGAGCCCCACTTTCGGGGGCGGTGTTCGGCGGAATCTGTCTCGCATCCTGGCGCGTTCGTCGACGTTTGTGTCAGACGGCAGCAAGCCAAAGGAGGTGCAGAACGAGCTCATCCTTGCCGCTTCTATCGGTCGGTAAACCACACACACAAGGAGAGGGACAGCGAGAGAGCTTGACGGCTGGATGTGTGTGGATTGTCTGTCCATCGATCAGGCACTCAGCTGTTTGCTCAGAATCAGGAGCTGATGACACAGATCCAGAAGCGACAGACAGCATCGGCAGGCGCCACACCCCTGCAGTGAGCAAACCATGGCCATCCACAACCAGTTAGTTAACACAAGAGACAAACAGAGTGTGTATGCCATGTCAGCCGTGAGGAGTCCGGCTTCATGGTCGAGGGTGTTGTGGACACCTCCCCCAATGTGCACGACAGCCTCACCTCATCGCCCGCACTCTCCAACACACCCGCCTCGCGAAACAGATCCAGACGAGGATCAGTCATGTACTGGACGGACAGGCGGAGAAATGAATGCATCTCTTGCGTGGATCGTGCTGTGTTGTGTTGTCTTGTGTTGTGTGTGGCAGCTCTTCGCAGATCCGCCGCGTGTCTCACAACCAAGCACTGGTACGGTGCGTGAGCGACCTGTGTGTGTGTGCTGTGGATGGATAGAGTCGTGTGTGCAGGCGATGGAGGAGCTTCACGACGAAGTAGACCGTCTCACCAAACAGTGAGCAAATGCACAAGGGGGACCTGCTGGCAGCAATGATGGCATCCACTTCACCCCTTCCTCCCCTGTGTGTGTCTGTGCCCACGCACAGGCTGCAGGTGACAGAGGCAGAGCTCTTCAAGCTGCGGCGCGGGACGCACGCCGACGTCAAACACTACCAAGACCAAATCGAAGACAAAGAGCGCGTGAGTTAGCCAGTGGGTCGGTCGATGAGTGCATCCATCTGTGTGTCTGTGTGTGGAGTGCAGGAGATCAACGCGCTTCGCCAAGAGGTGACTGACCTGCGGTCGAAGGAACACCACCACAGACGGACCACCGAGAAGCTTCGCAAGTAAGTGAGCACGTTTAAGGTTGGGCGTGTCTATCATGCGTTCGACGTGTCTTTGTGCAGAGAGCTCAACGAGCTGTCGACTTCTGGCAAGGTGAGTGAATGGGCAAAGAGTAGGGGAGAATGGTGGACTGGACGATGTTTCACTCTCTCTGTGTGTGTGCATGCTATGCCTTGGTGTCTGTCTGCAGCACTTGTCGAATGAGCCAGAGATCACTGACGAGTGGTACAGCACATGCACGTGCTGACCTAGCATGGACGGGGGGATGGGTGTGCGGATATGGACTGCAGGGCCAAGGAGCGTGCCGAGGAGATCGCCAAACTTAAGAAGGGATTCAGAGAACGAGAAACAACACTTCTCGGTGGGTCAGTGAGTTAGTGAGCATCCTTATCATTGACTGATTGACTGATGTCTGTCTCCACCGGAAATGGTTGGATGGCATGGATATATGCAGAGGCTCTCGACGCATCGAACAAGAAGGGCGAGGCACTGGAGGAGGAAACCAACAAACTGCAGGCCGAAATTGCCACCGTAGGCACAACACCAACACCAACAGCACAGCACACCACAGCACACCACCGTCACAGACACACACCATGCTGTCAACGCCATTGTGCAGCTCAAGAGCATGATGTCGGACTATGACGCCACATCAGCCAAGGTAAGAAACAAGAAGACACACGCAAACACATGTTCTCTACTCCCTCCATATATTCTCTGCCTGCTTGTGCTTGCTTGTGTCAGTTACGCGAGGAGTTGGATGAGCTTCAGTCGACGATAGAGGGCGGCAACATGCGGGCGGCCGCCGCAAGACGCGGACGCAGAATGACTCTGCAAGACGAGCTCAGAGAGGTCAGTCGGCCTACACAGACCTTACAATCTCAGCATTCCTTTCTCTGCACACGTGGCAGGCTGTGTTTGATATCGGGGCACAGCAGAAGGATGACGGCAAAAGCGGCGGTAGGGAAAGACTGACAGCCTGACAGACAGACAGACAGACAGACAGACAGACAAGTGGCCAACTTGACGCCTGAGAAGTGCATCTGTCGACGATGACATTCACCCACTGTCAGGTGTCGGACCAGCCGCAGCTTCGCGAACACTCCCTCCGCGGCTCCCCCTACCCCAGCTCCTCTCAGAAACGGTGTGTGTCTTTCGTGTGTAGCCATCCACACACGACCAGACAGACATCCGTGTGTGTGGGTGTCTGTCTGTCAGATCCCCGAGGACGATGTGGCCGAGTTCAACTCGCAGACCTCGGGCAGCTCGTCGCAGATGAGCAGCTCGTTCGAGGAGTCGCAGGTGTCCAGCCCGCTCGCTGCCTCGGGCAAAGACGTCGCCCCACCCCCACCCCCACCACCTCCACCCGACACTGAGGTCGGGTCAAAGATACACGGACTCAAGGCCCTCGCCGATCGATTGAGGAAGCCTGTAAGACAGAGAGAAAGACAGAGAGAGAGAGGATAGATCAACGGGCGACTTTCGTGATTGCAGAAGGTGTGGGACATCTTGCCAGACAAGAAGGCTGCTGGTGTGCAGTCGGAGGGCGACTTCCGCCGGCAGGAGTCCCTCGACGAGGCCCAAAGCAGGTGGAGGAAGGAGGCAGAAGGCCTCAACGCACAAATGCACATCCTTGAGGACAAGGTGGGTGCGATCGAAGGCAAACATGTGATCGGCTCCGGCGCAAATGTGATTGATCCATCGCTGTCCTAAATGCAGCTTCGCGATTGTGGTGTGGGCAACGAGGAGGCTCTGAAGGCTCTCGAGAAAGATGTCACCAAGCTGGAGGAGCTCGTCCATCAGAAAGAACAACAATTAGTGCGCTCTCCCCTACCGTCAACAAACAGCACACTGCACGGACGGCAAGTCCGAAGACTCTGTACTTTCGTGTGTGTGGTGACGCAGACGGAGGCTGAGAGCACCCTCGAGGCCACAGCTGCGAGACTGGCTGAGCTGCAGGCTGCATTCGAGAATACTCAGCAAGACCTTGCGAAGGAGATACAGGCCAGGGTACACAGGAAACCGCCCTCTCGAGGGCAGCAGAAGGAGATTCATGTCTCTCACCCTCCTCTTTTCAGGCCGACGAGGGGGCCCGCCGGCAGGGCACAGAGGAGCTGAACGAGCGGCTGAAATCCGAGCTGAGAGACCTCCACGCCGCCCAGATACAAGCAGAGGCCGACAAGCGGGAACTGATGGCCAAGCTCGATGCTGCAAAGGCCGATATCGAGAGGGAGAAGGAGAAACCGAAAGAAAGAGAGAAAGAGTACGTCGAGGTGCCGGTGCATGTGCCCGTGCCCCTTGCTGCGAGGGTCAAGAAGCACAGAGATGATCGAGACGATCAGGAGAAGGAGAAGGAAAAGGAGAGGGAGCCGTGTCCCGACTACGACGCAGTCAAAAAGGAACTGGCGGGCATCAAAGAGGCGGGTAGCGAGCTGACGGAGAAACTCAAATCCATCAAGGAAAAGGTAGGCCTCGATCAGTGCCATCATCCCATCAGCATAGTCATACTGTACTGTCATTCTTGTGGCAGCGTGAGCAGCAGAGTAGTCAGGAGGGGGCATCGGCAGCAGACCTCGCACGTGGACTCACAAACATCGCCCGCAAGATACAGGTGCCTCCCTCTGGCAAGCAGGGGGAAGACACGGAGACCGTCTGCATGAGTGTCCCTGCTGTGTTCTCCTGCAGTCGGAGTGTCGCGAGCTGCGTCAAGAGGTCGAAGAGGCAAAGAAAAGCGTAAGGTTAAAAGAACAGCAGAGGCTCATCATGTCTCCTCGTTTGTCGTCCACATGCAGCACAAGGAGGAGTCTGCCTTCCGCAGCAGCCTACCCATCGCAGCAGGACCAGACGAGGCAGACACTATCAACCAAAGGGTCCTCATCCGGCCCCCCCTGACCTCCAACATCCGCATTGGCCCGCGCTCCGTCAAGCCCCTCACACTCCACCCGCCCCCACTCGTGAAGGCAGTGCGGCAGACCTCGTCGCCCCCATTCTCCCCTCCCATGCGCCCCTGCCTCATTCCCCACCCGCTGCTGTCTCCCCGCCCATCGCCTCCACCACTGATCGTCAGGTCGCCGCTTGGCAGATTCGGTCCATTGTTGCCTCCGCCCGGTCTGGGGCTGCGGCGGTGCTTCAGTGACCGACGGCTGGACTCCTATCGGCTGCTGTCCCCATCGCCATTGCCATCGCCGTCGCCATTGCCATCGCCATTGCCGCCCCGCTTTATGCCATCTCCCCTCCAGCAGAGAGCCATGAGTGGATCGCGGTCGACTCCCCATCTCGCTGCCGCTGTGCCTCGCGCCAAGCCGCCCCTGCCGAAGCGAGAGGCTGACATGATCGCTGAGGAGAGACGTCGGTGTCAGAGTGTGGGGGCGTCATGGTGCTGTGACGGCAACGACAAGGGCAAGGGCAGGAGAAAGAAGGCAATGTCTCCCTCTCCCTCTGCTGCCAAGCTTCCGCCGCTGCACGTGGAGGCGCGCTCTGACGTGTCGAGCTTGCCTACTCCACCGGGGTCGTCTCGGTCGCCCCACCGCCGGTCATCGCCCTGCTCTGTCTCTGCGCGGCCACGTCTCAGACTATTCGGCAACCATGGAGCGACGCTGCGGTCGAGGGCGTCCATTTCCCCCGCTGCTGCTGTGATGCCAAGAAGAACACCTGCACCACAGATGCCGCCCATCATGCGCTCGCCATCATCAGACCAGCGGCTCCCAGGCGATCATCGCATTGCTCATCATCATCCCATAATGTCAGAGAGGATCAGCCGCTGCGTCACTCAGCCAGCAGGTACGCAGACAACGCCAACTGTGGGTTCATCTGTTCTGGGTCCCATGTGTCCACAGGTAATGTCAGTCGTCCCCCTTGGCTGTTCCTTCCCCCAAACCGACGTGACGTAATCGTGCCAGTGAGGCCGCCCTTCGGCGGCACATACTGTCTCCCCCCAAACCAGCCAGCCCCGGACCAATTCGGCAAAACAGTGAGTGGAGTGAAGTAGCACTGTACATAAAGTTTGTTGGACGGACTTATACAGTAGAATAGCGGCCATTTTGTAGACAGCCAGACAGACAGCCAGACAGACACACAGAGGCGTAGGCAACGTAGATCGACATTAGATAGAGACGCTTCCTGGTAGCGACACACGACTGACTGTGCTCTGCGTGGATGTCTCCCTGAACACTGAACAAAGAGACGCATGGCACTCTGCATTGAATCAGTCAGATGTCAAAAGCCGACCTTTAGCATGTCATTCCAACTACAAATGGCCGCCTAGACGTGTCTCCGGCTGCAGCGTCGGAGCGAGGGAGAATGGGCTGTTGGCGAGTGCTGTCCACAGGCCGATGTATCGCGGGACATCCGCAAAGAGATGCAGCCTGACACACACACATACGCACGCACACACGCACGTGTCGTAAGGCGATGGGCGATGCGATATGGGCTTCTGTGGACTTGAGAGGGATGGATGGGGGGGAAGGCATCTTGATGAACTGTCATTGCCTTGTCCTCTTGTCGACAATCATTTACGAACGGTTCACGCATGTCTCTCCCGACATCTCCCGACAGACAAGGACATATATACTTTTAAGAGCAAATGTCCATCCGCCCAGCACTTCGTCACGCACATGTTGCCGGTTGGCCATCATAAAACGGACGGCGCTTTCTCAGCCACAGACAGACCCACAAGCATTCGATCGCGCCTGGCACACCGATGGGCACACACACACAGACCGACCGACCGACCGACCGACCGACAGACAGACAGACAATGCACACACTATGCGCGGATGCATACGCCCCCCCTACACACATAAAAGACCGACACACTTGGATTCACACGCACTTGTGCGTCAGTCACGTCACGCACTCACAACTTTCACACGACAGACAGACAGGCGGATGTTTGTCGACACAAAGAGCCTTCTCCCCTGCCCCTACTGCTCCCCCCCCACACATACACTCACATACAGACACATACACACCAGCATACAGCACCTCCTGTCTCAGGATTTGTTGGGCGAGGCGAAATTGGCCTCGGAAAAATCACCACACCGGCGACAGCAATCAAACAGGCAGACCCCTACACGCACGTAACCACCACTGCCTCAATAAAGACCATGCCACATCATCGCACCCATAAGCAAATGGACAGACAGACAGACAGACAGAGCGAGAGGGAAGAGCGAGAGGGCAGGAGCCAAGTCAGTCTGTCAATGGGCTATCAGTTCGCTGTCAGCGTCATGCCGAAAGCGGGCTCATAGTGGGTGGGCAGGGGGACCTCTTGGATGAAGCGTCCATCGGCGGGCGAGTAGAGGCATTTGGCGCGGCTGTAGCTGATGATGGCGAAGCTCAGCTGGAACTTGGTCTTCCCCAGGCTGTCAAATAGCGTGTGCCATTCCCCCTGAAAAGCCCATCACACACAGAGGCAGTGTATCCAGCATGAAATGCATATGCATATGCGCAGACGCACCGGATTGTTGACGAGCCATTCCAGGAGGCGGTCTGTGATCTGTTTGAGGATCTCGTTACCGTACTTCATCATGCCTTTGTAGATGGTCATGACTTGGTTGTAGAGCTCGTTCTTCACATACGCCAAGGTGAAAGTGCTACCGCCTCCCATGAAGTCCGCCGCAACCACAGTGGCCACCATATTGTAGTCACCATCATGTATCATGTTGCCTACACACACACACAGCGAACACATGCACAGACGCACACACGCACTCACATACACACACACACGGAGCGATGGCCTATATCTGTGCAATGCGTCCATCGTTTTTTCGCTCACTCACCCCAGAAGACTGCGCCACACGGGAGTTCGAAAGGGTTGTCTGCCGCCCCCGTAACGCACTTCGTCCCCTTTGTGACCTGGTACTCCACGTCTGCCCGTTTCGCCCCCACGTCGACGCCGCAGTGCTCACAGTAGTCGCCCGCCGCGCGGCAGGCCGCCTCGAACTGAGCAATGCCTGTGACGCCATTCGTCGAGAGCTCCACGGCGGCGTCCAGGGCCTCCCGAGGGTTCGAGGGAATGCTTGACGTTGCGTCCTCCACTTGTTCCCTTGCATTCCCCACTTGTCGCCCCGCATTCTCCACTTGTCGCCCCACATTCCCCGTTTCTCGCTCCACATCGTCCAACGTGGGGAGTCCGAGGTCAAACCGCAGTTGGCGGCGGTCCTCGCCCTCTGACGAAACCTGATGGATGAACACGCAGCAAAGGCATGCATAGAGATGGATGCCCATGCAGGCACGGCACAATCAATTGCTTACCGACGGCACAGCGCAGGCCACGAGACCAAGGGTCAACATGATCAGCTTAGACATGATCATGATGGATGGCCGGTGTGTGTACTACCGATAGTACCGAAACCGGGTGTACACACAAAGATGCAAAAGATGGATGCAGGGCGGGAGGAGGAACTTCAAGGCCTTGATGGAGACGGGGAAGGCGAAAGTAGGCGGTGTCATGACGGCTGCCTCTCTCTCTCGAGGATCATTTTGCAGCTCGCAAAGGAGGTGCGGGGAAGACACACGTGTGGACAAGAGCTGCGATCTGACGAGCAAGATGCCAAGAAGTGGATTTCCATTTTGGCGAGAATTTGAGACGGCGAGAATTTGAGACGGCACGGCAACTGCGCTTCTTTTCGCTTTTCCTCCGCTTGTGCAGGACCAGGCTGACAACTCGGCGGTCGCAAAACAGGCGGTTTAAGAGTAAAGGTCGCCCTTCGCCATGCAGAGGTCCAGGGGCAAAGGGCACAAGAGTCGGCCGCCTCGGGCCGAGAGGTCTAATACCGAATGCAATCACAGCAGCGTAATCCCAGCATTCTCTGACGTCCTCCCATATGGCGGTGAGGCACCAGACAAGGCACCAGATGTCAATCTCACTGTCGAAGCAACAGATTTTGACAACAGGGTGGGCAGAAACGAAGAAATAGATGGATGGATGGATGGATTTGTGGATGGTGCGTCCCTGTGTGATGATATCTCCCTCAGAGCTATCAGATGCAGGTGCAAGGGACACTCACTCACTTTGCCACGCATGATGCAAACAAGGTTGGTCGGTCGCTGTCTTGCCCTGGTCTGACAGAGTCGAGGCCCTTTGCACACTTATAGGCGACGCACAGACAGAGGAGCACGCCGATAGTGTCACACACATATATGTGTGTGGTCCTAAGCAGGTTGAGCGCTGCTGTTCCTCGGCGGCCGGCACCTGCAGAGGGCCATGGAGCTGTCCCAACAGACATGGGCGCCGAGCGTGTGTATGAGAATGGACTTGAGGGTGAGGGTGAGGGCATGTCCGGTGACGAGGAGGGCTATCGCACCCACCAGCAGCATCTGGTTCAATCACGCACGCAACACGACACGCGATCGATATGTGGGCAATTGTGTGTGTGTGTGTGTGTGTGTGTGTAGAATGTGGGTGACGCCACTGACATGCAGGAGGGCACGCCACGCCTCGTCCAGCCACGGCAGGAGCAGTACATCAAGAAGGAGAACGGCGCAGCTGTCAAGCACACCGAGGCGCACGTACAGCAAGTACTGCAGCACAACCGCCATCGATGGACGACTTTGACCCAGCGACAAACGATGCAAATTGCCTTGCGGTGGACATGTACATTCGTCAAAGGGAGCTTGAAATGGCGCCGAAGGCACTCCTCGTCCTGCTGTCGTCCATGCGCGTGGGTCCCCCCCCCCCCCCCCCCCCCCCCCCC